CCGTCCCCCTGATCTGTCACTTGTTATGCCATAACAATAGAAAGTACCATAAAACTTGCATAAGTCGACTTTGGGCCAGCATATTTTGTGCTTGACTTAGGAAAATACGACTTACGCGGTAAGTCAGTCATTTTTGTCGATTTATACAATGTATGTAATGCGGTACTGTATTGTTGTCCTTGCGATTGCTCTGCGCATGAGTCATCATTAACAAGCAAGTTGTGAACAAAGTTTAATTAACAAACGAAAAATGCGAATGAAGTCATGCATACCCGTCATTATTATGCCCGTGGTTGAATACGAATGATGCGCGTGAACTCGGCCCACGCGCGATTTAAAGCGCGACAAACAGCATCTATGACTACTATATGTATGTAGTGGCCTCGAGCCGGTCTCGACCCGAGTCCTCGAGTCCGGAGGGCTCGAGTCCGAGTCCGAGTCAGAGTCACTGCACTCCGAGGCCGAGACCGAGACCAAGGAAAACGGTCTCGAGACCGGTCTCGAGGCCAAGACCGGTCTCGTGACCTACAACACTGACAAGAATACGAAGGAAGTTTCAACAAGGTAGATTTGTGCATGGGCTTAATGACTCTGCATACTTCAGCAGCATGAAGCTACACAAGTAGAAGTCAATAATATCTGTCACAACAATACAGCATGGTCCTACTACTGGCAAAACCATATAACTACACGCAGTACGCAATAACGATCCAATGCCACACCTGGCTTTCATTTCATACAAACATCTCTCTTCACGCCTTGATTGCCATAGCCTCCGCCGCCACCGTACCCGCCTCCTCCGCCACCGTACCCGCCTCCTCCGCCACCGTACCCGCCACCTCCGCCACCGTAGATACAATAATGTAACCCAAACCCAAGAGGATAGAATACGGTGGCGGCGGAGGAGGGTACAGTGGCAGTAGATACAATAATGTAACCCAAAACCCAAACCCAAACCCAAACCCAACCCCTATCCTCTTGGGTTTGGGTTACATTATTGTTTCTACTGCCACCGTACCCGCCTCCTCCGCCACCGTACCCGCCTCCTCCGCCACCGTACCCGCCTCCTCCGCCACCGTACCCGTCTCCTCCGCCACCGCAGTTATCGCCATCTCCACGGTTACCTAAAACACGAGAATCATCAACGTAAGATCATAGCTCTGCCCTAAGCCCAATTCTTTACAGATTCAAACAACAAAGTCGGCCGGCGAGTGTTTTGACAAGACCACCCTGCCATTCCGGTGACTCACCGAATCTTCCTCCCCCTCGTCCTGGTTCACGGCCGCCTCCTCTATCCATCGCTGAAGCCATCTCCTGTTTCGTCACGGCTCTCTTCACCTCCCGAGTGATGTCCGTCGATGATGTGCGGCCGGTTCTGCTGCGCCTCGTCCGTCGATGATGTGCGGCCGAACAAACGCACTACTCAACTAAGAATAAATAATTAATTGCCATACTACAGTACAGAGACAGGCGGCACTTTTGACGCTTCTTTTATCATAGCTTGGCATTGTTTTCGTTATAAGCGAGTTCGTAGTTAGCCGTGTACGTGTACGTGCACGTGCACACGCACGCACGCACGCACTTGTACGTGTCGCTGCTTTCATCGAGTGTTGAACGCAATCATACAAATCATACAAACGAAAATGAGGACAACTATCACATCCCAGCACTCCTGTAGACAGAGCTAGAGCCATATGGTTTACATACAAGAGAGGCACAGTGTGATTGGTTTATGCTAAGCACGCCCCTCAACAACCAGCAGCTACGATGGCGTAGTGGATTTACACTGGACGGCAACGTCCAACATTTATTCTATACATCTCTGGGTGAATTGAGCTCTGATTGAGCAGAGATTGAGCCAATTGAGCCAGAGCGAGAGAACCATCTGTTGTGGAGTTTGCATACATGTATGTATATACAGTATATTACATATTAGTTACACATTTGTACATATATAACATCAGAGCACTTCCTCATATTACATATGTTGGACCAAAACATTAATTTATTGTAGTGTGCGTACGTAAGTGTTTTATCTCCGGCCTTTAATAATTCGAGTGTACTGTAGCAAATGAAGCCATTTTTATCACGTGATTTTCTCTTACTTACTCGTGTTTTGAAGGTGTCGTATAGTAGGCCTACTTCTCGGGCAGCCACTGTCCATACTGAAAACAAGAAAATGCGACGACGAACAATTGACGAAATTTATTAATTTAAGCAAACAGATTAACTAAAAACGAAACTTCTGAAATATTTATATATTTAACTCTATATCTTGTCAAATCTTAATCGAACAAGTGTTAACAATGACAAAAAATCGACGAAATTGATGAATTGAAGCAAACATAGCCTACAGCCGAATGTCCACTGAAAAATGGCTCATGTTTGGAGAACTGTTATATCTACTGGGTTTTGAGTCTGTCATAATATTGCGCAAGTCAATATTATTGTCAATGATAATGTAACTACAAACGATAATTTCTGAAATATTTATATATTAAACACTATATCTTGGCAAATCTTAAACAAACAAGCGTTTACAAAGAAAGAATAGAGATTTGTATTTCCTTTTCGAGCTATATAAGTATATCTTGTAAAATCTTAATGGAACCGTATTGCTGTAGTAAGAAGTTTTGTTTTCACACGTATATATGTGTACTTACAATCGAAGCTCATCCGGTAGAATTGGCGGGAAAGTGACCTAGCTAGTAGGTGCGGTTCTCCTGGTCGTCTGCATGGTGGAATGAAGCTCCCCGGGTCAATTTTACCCCGGGCGGTCCTTATATACGTCCACTGCCGTGGCCTTGTCAGGCTTGCAGTGAATCCCGTGTCGAATCCTGTCGGCAGCTGGCCCAGGCTTCGATCCGTATATGGCAGTGTTGACCCCTTAACGTGGCGTTAGAGACAGAACACCTTTAGCCAGCGAGTATTCCGGTTCCGGTTTCGGTACTGGGTGCAACGTCACTTCTAGTGCTATGCAGATGGGCGCATAGTTCTACTGAACGCTATCGGAGCGTAAATTTAATATTGACGGTGATCATCTATAAATACATATGTAAACAAATACATATGTTTGTAAAAGCATAGATATATACAAACACATGTGATTTTACATGGAAAAACTTACAGTTTACATGTTGGTTAGTGCACATGGTACTACTACTAGCAGTAGCTTGTTTAAGTTTTTCACTAGTGTGTGCGTGTGTGCGTGTGTGTGTGTGTGTATGTGTGTGTGTGTGTGTGTGTGTGTGTGTGTGTGTGCGTGCGTGCGTGCGTGCGGTGTGAATATTGTATTCATCCAGAAATGTAATCGGATTGCTTTATTATCGCCTTCACTTACAGCGGCGTAAACGCTGGTGCAGACAATAACATGTGATTTCATGCAGAGTCTGCCTCATGCATACATGCATCATGCGCGTTTGACTTATTCCCAGCGAACAATCACTATAGTTACTGTTCTGCGAGTTGCAGCCATTTCTCCGATGAACCTTGGAGCAATCATTCTGATCTTGGAGCAATCAGTCAGAATGATTACTCCAAGGATGAAAAAACGATCTGCGTTCCAAACAAACCGTCGTTATTTCCGAAGAAACAATCAATGTCTGAAAGTACAGCCATTATTTCGAACAATCGTTTTAGAACAATTAAGTTTCGAATAAACCATTTAATTAATTGTTCTTCCGAACAAGCAAGTACTAGAGGGGAGGAAGTTTGGAGGAAATTGAGAGCGTGAAGTTGCAGCCGGGCGATCCTCGCTGTAACCAATTACTATTCATGTCTGCCCTCCTCGGCCTCCACCCACACACACACAATCGCACGCAAGCTACCGCCACACGCACACACACGACACGCGCGGCACACACACACCGCGCACGCACCTCACACACGCGCACACATGCGCCCGCACACACACACCACACACGAACACACACCACACGCACATCCGCACACCGCACACGCACGACACCATACACACACAGCACACACACACCGCACACGCACACACACGCGTACGCGCGCGCACACGGTGCCGAGGAATGTGGTCGAAAGCAACGGAACACGTACAGGCGATCACAGCGCCCGTAAGAACAGCACACACGCTGGCAGTTATAGTACGCTCGATACTTGTGGCAGCCCAAACTTTTCCATGGATGATATGATAATCACGATAGAACACCACTAGAAATAGATAGACAAAAAATAGAGTAGTTGTCTATCATTTCTATGGGACACATCATTAGCTCTGCTTGCTGTAACATGTGTTTGCCGTGCGGTATGACTCTGCAGCGTTGCGTAAGGTCCATCATCACTGGATCGAGCACCGCGCACAACTTGCCCGCGTTGTCCCCGCCGGCAATGCTTTTATATATCGCACCATCAGACCGGTATTAATCTACAGATTTCTCAACGTACTGACAGCCGGCGTCGTCGATGAGATCCGCACTGAAACGGGCGCGCCAGACGTTTGGAGTCAGTCTAGCTTCCGACTACTGCATTGCGCAAATCATCATATGGCGCTGCGTCCTGGGGCTCATAACAGAGGGGGGTGGGGGTAAGGGTGTACTGTTCACACGAGTTCACAGTAAAAATAAACTACTTTTTCACATATCACAGTAAAATAATCTCTTTTCACAGATCCGGGGAGTAATCCAGTTTCATACTGTTCTTGTCTCGAGGTTAGGGCTCCGGGGGCATGACCCCGGGAGTTTAAAAAAATTAGGCTATATTGGTGCATATTCTGTGAATTTTGAGGGCCTGTGACCGCGTTTTCGGAATCCGGGTGCAAACCGGCCTAAATCCGCGCCTTATGACATGCATTGATTACACGCAGGCAAAGAGACCTCTGTATTCACAATTCAACGACTAAATAAAAGCTAAATCACTCTCACGCAAGGTGGTCCATAAGCAGTTTACAGACAAAATATCATGTGCAATTCAAGTTCACAGAGGTATAAGAAGACGGGCCGATCACGTTTCATCGACAAATACCCTTATCCCCTCAATCATACAGTGCCTGGCGCTGGTCTAGTTATCTCCCTCCCACCTTCCAATATTAGTGAGCTCAACTAGGTCTATTTCCGCCCAAGGTACTTTCCGGATAACGGTACCCTGGTATATATCTGAATGGTTAAGGGTTTAGGGTTAGCTGTTAGTGGTGGGTAGTAGCTGTAGCCGACTCCCTAGACTTGTTAGTGGAGTATGGCGGGTACGTCCGCGGCATATTATATAGTACTCAGGGTACGTTTCCGATATATCGAACCGTACCCATGGTACTCTCACGATAGACCTGGGGGACAGCGTTAGTGAGGGCTTCTGTAGTGTGATGAGATAGGTTAACTATACGTAACCGCTTTTTTATTATCAGAATACGAGAGAGGGAGAAAGAGCGTGAGAGATCGAGAGAGAGAGAGGGGATGGAGAAACGTTCGGCGAGAGAAGAGATAAGCTAGAGAGAGGAGAGAGAGAGAGAGAGAGAGAGAGAGGAGAGAGAGAAGAGTGAGAACGACACTGAGAAGAGAGGAGGAGAGCAGAGAGCGACGAGGAGGAGAGAGAGAAGCAGAGAGAGAGAGAGAGAGAGAGAGAGAGAAGAGAGAGAGAGAGAGAGAGAGAGAGAGAGAGAGTAGAGAGCATGAAGATAGCAGCAGCACTTTAGTCATCAATTATCTAAACTAAGTGCCGCAGTGCGACACGGGCTAATCATAAATTTCATTCAATAATATGATAAAATAAATAAATGATAAATTCATGTTGTGCATTAGCAAGAGTCTTATACATACAGTCTCTTATCTTGTTCTGACTTTCGTCCCCAATTGGAACAAATATATTCAGCTACACTTTCGAACAACTCCACCCAATCTCTACTCATTGCAGACACATGTGCATTGCAGTTGGCAGGCAAACAATTATGATTAAAGAGTGACCAGCCATGGGCTGCCTCTGTTTTGCCTAACCGCACACGAGCATTCACGATAATTCAGCTTTAGGGTGCTATAGACACATGCTTATAGAAAATAATATGATTTAAGGAGTGTAAAACCTTGTTCAAACAAAATTTGGCCTTCTGCAATTATGTGCAACTGTACGCTCACAATTCAACACAAGGTATTGGCTCTAATAAAGCAAAAGCCAGTCCATCTTGTTAAACAGCTCAACAAACCTCATCGTTAACCCTCCTTCTTGAGGGCAAAAGGTTATCCATCACTGCTCTTTGCATTACAGCGGAAAGTACATTTCATGGTATTGTTCAATAAGCCATAAAAATAGTAAGTCACCGCTGAACGACAAAAACAGTTTTTCCAATCGCTCCGCTCAGATCCCATGTCCCAGAAAAGTTAAAACTGCCATGTGCGCCCATTGACTTTGACCTGTGACCTCGCAATTTCGGCCAGCATGTGATGTCTTTTCCTCATGATCCTATACAACGACTATCACGAGCCTAGGTCGAGGCCGTTTAGATTTTAGAGCCGCATTCTGACATTGCCTCCCTAATACCTAAGTTTAAGAGGGAATTGTTCCCCTTCTTTTACACCCCTTGACCTTGACTTGACCCCCCACTTTGACATCCCAACTCGTTTTCGAATTACCCCCCCTCCTCCCCACGCGAAACGTGACCGGGACGTCGTCCGTTTGACAATGTTGTTCCAACTGTGATCGGACGCACGGACGGACAATCATGCGATTCTACAAGCTGCACCTGACTACGTCAGATGAGCTAAAAAACAGCTTTCATTGCTACATGTAGCTTTCCACGTCAGACACAGAGAACCTTGAAGCTCTCCTCTAGCGTGTCTCTCGCTCTTTTTACAAAGCTCTGAATGGAGAGAGAATCTGGGATCGAAATTATCTGCAGATCGAGCGACTCAATTAGGACGTGTCCAGACACTATTGATTCAATTTAGTGCGCGCATACGTGGCTGTGTGCACTGAAGATCGCTTCCCATTTGACTAATGTCATCCGTCACGTGTGTGTCATTAACTTAATCGCTTCCTAACGCTGTATTATCGAAACTTTCCATTCGGGATGCATCCTAGTGGAGCATTATATAGGAACCTTTAGACTTCCCAGTCGCGCACGTCCTAAACGTATATGGAGCGTTAGATGGAGCGTATATGGCGGCGTATGGAGCGTTAGATAGCGAACGTAAAATGGAGCGTTATATGTCGTAATGTTTAGAATTCTTTGCCGGGGGACCTAGCTCCTAATGGAACGTTATATGTGTGGCAATATCGAGAATTTTCAGTCGGGGTGTTTACTAATGGAACGTTATATATAGATCTACCTCCCTAGATCCTCTAAGCGTTGCCTCCCGCACCCGATTCAGTAATTTTATTTGCCGAGACAAGCTTTGCGTTTGCACACCGCCACATGTCGTTGAATTTCTGTTCACTCCGCTATATGTACTGACAAGAATCAAGCTTACACAATCTTCGTGTCAGTTTTCACAGGTTTTTACGGTCGCTAGCCTTTGCCCTAGCCATGGTCTTGCCATGATCCTAGCACCTAGCTCTACCTCTGGTCTTAACCCTGTGTCTGGACATCGCACTGGCACATTGCCAGATTCCTGCATCACTTAGGTCCGTAATATTGCGATATAACTGCTCGGCATGTCGAGTTGATAACATGTGATTGAGATTTGAGAGTGATGGATGTTTTGTGCTTGCAGAAATTCGAGGACGCTGGAGCGTACATAACGCGTGAGAAGGGCCTGGACATGATCACGCGCATGGGGCTGCAGATGGAAGCCATGC